TTTTACAAGTAAGAACAAAGCTATCTAATGATAATGATATAAGGCAATTAACTGGTAATCTGGAAAGCTAAATGGAGACTCCAAGCCATTGGCAATGAAAACACACCACAGAAATTTTCCAAGAAACGCTGCTTCCGTTTAAGTCAACGATTAATTCCACAACTGGCTATATTTTGAGATGGCTTGGCTTCCTTCCTGGACAGAATCACCTCAACATTTGTAAAATAATTAAAAAAATAATAAAATCCACTGGTCTCTAGCAACTGCTGCATTTTCTCCTGTTATAAAATATTAAGTGGAGAACGACAAACCTGCTTAGAAAATAAAACAGTGTTCCTTTCCCCATTTCCCCAAAACCAAACAAAACTATGCCTCATCCAAGCAAATATTAAAAGAGGGTTTGGCATGTTTATACTCCCTCTTTTAATGCATGACCTCTCTCCATTTTTTCTTTTTTTTTTCAAAATAGCATGGGTAATATGGTTATTGCAATGTTTCTAGTGCAGCCTAAGGCATAAGTTTGAAATCTTACAGAAAAGCTTTCCATTGTAAAATGCTAAACGGTTTTCAAGCTTAAGTACTTTGGACAAAGAAAGATTATCCAGTGCAAACACATCAAATACTCACGCCTTCTTCATATACTTTATGAAAACACATCTTTCATAACAAAAACAAATGCTAACTCATACTGTCAAAAGTTTCCTCTACACTGAAGTGAGGAAAAAAACGAGCCAAATTAGCACTTTTTTCTAATTCTGTGTGTCTGATGATCTCTAGAACAAGGGTCAGCAGCCTGCAGCACATACAGAGATTCAGCATTTAGCATACAGCATGTCATAAAGGTTGAATGGGGTCAGGAACCAGGAGTAGATGGAATCTCAGAAAGACAAGAGCTTCAAGGTCTTAAGTCCTACTCTTTACCAGCTGCCCCAGTGATCAGCTAATGAGCAGCATCTTGCTCTTTTGAAGGCATGTTCATACCCAAGCACAGGTTGCATCCCTTGGCTTTGGCACAGTGATCTGCCAAGCAGTGCTGACTGCTCAGCACATTGCAGCCACTGAACTGTGGTATTTTCCCTGGTTTTGCTCTCCTGCTCTGGCAAAGCAGAGTCAACAGCTGAGACATCTCTTCCTTTAACTGTTCTTGAACTGTAAATTGCCTTGCATTCCCTTCGACTTCTACAACTGAACCAGCTCACTCTACCAAGTACTGATCACATCAGCACTTCAAGGCCTCTGCTAGTCCAAGGTAAGGACTTGAACATACACTCAATATGTAATTCAGATGTAATCTCAAGAGCAACGCTTTCCAAGTGTTTCTGAAATAATACTGGGCCAGGTGACTTTTAGCTTGACAAAATCCTCCACCAAGAGGCTGGCCTCAGCCTAAAACATGCAAATGATACTTTACAGTAATACCTGCATACTATCAGTCATTCCTCTTGTAGAATCAGTGCTACTTAACTAATTAACTGAATAAAAGGAGCTACACAATACCCTGAATAGATGATTCAAACAATGGACTAGCTTAATAAGCATACAGACCCAACAAGTAAACTGGCAAAGCATTTTAAAACAATAAGATGGTCTGCAGCAGCCAAGTAATGATTTAAAGAATCAGTTACAGTCACATGGTAAATCAGTGCAAGTAACAGCTCAAAGGTTTTAATTTCACCTCTAAATATTTTTATCTGAGGAACAGTAACATTATCATGATAATGAACTGTTGTCCCAGGTACACATTACACCGGGAGCTGTGGCTCTCCAAAGGGATAGCAACAACAACTTGTCAGGACTGGCTTACACCTTTCAAGGGCAGTTATACCTTTAAGTGAAATTACTCTGAACAGTGCAATCAGGCAGGCTATTCCATGACCTTAAAATATAAAACTTGCCTTTTGAAAGAACCCTCAACATTTTCATAAACGTGACAAGAAATTACTGTATACATCAAATGCTGAGCTATGCAGGTACACTATTCTGGCATTTATCCTGCATTCTTCTGTAAAAAGCCCTACAACTATACATATTTAAACAGCTAAACTTTTTTTTCTGTAAGGTATTGAAATCAGAACTAGCAAAAAGAGAGTTTAGTCCAGGATAATGATGGAACATCAAGGACTAATTAAAACAACTCAATTTTCAGGTCAGAAACATTTACATTATTTGTATAAAAAAGATCAAATAGGAATACAGTCAAGTATTGCCAATATTTCTGCCAGTCTTTTTAGGATAATGCTGTACCTGGGGCCAAATAATTCTGTCAGCTCTTTTTCTGAGAAGCTGCAAGGATTAATGCTAGCTTTGTATTTTTAAATACTTGGGAGATACTCAAATACAACAACGATGAGATTAAGTTGGACAGAAGAGAGGTATTTTCTTTGCACACAGTAAAATATTGGTAATAGGCAATTAAAAAAAAAGACAACTCCTGTATGATTTGAAGTTTAATCAAAATGTTACATTGAAAATGAAAACAGAGGGAACATTCACTGCTGTATATAAAGGTAATCGGTCTGTACGATGTAATGCTGGTAAACAAAATGTCACTGTTTCCAAACCCAGCAGTAAAGAAAGTAATTGCTCTTTGATATCAGCCTCCACTTTGTTGTGGATGGCGCTGATTCTGTTCAAGCAAATAATTTATGTCCAGCATTGTACCGTCCTATAACTATAAACTATCAAAACCATTAAAACATTTTCCAACAATAAATATAGAGAGCAAATGAACACCTAGATTGCTCTGTGCACTGTTGTAAGTAGCCTAAAACTCTTCGAGGTATATTCACAAGTAAGACAGCAACACTCTGTGAGCCAAAAATATCAAGTGAGAAAAATAAAATGACAAATAAGAAAATTATTTGCTGACAGAGTAAGTGAAGTTTTCTTTTCCACTTACCACTTTTGGTTCAAAACCAATCATTTCACTAAGTTTCAATTAATGAATAAACTTAAAAGTCATGAATTTTTTATTTTCATTATTTGTATCTGCTATGTCTTTTCCAGCACAACTGTTAGCTCAGGACAGCATACCTGAGACAGGTAAACTTTCAGCTTGTCTAATATTAGTAACATCAACCACACTATAAATCTCTCACAATTTGCTGCCCTAAATGTTACTTTCATCCTTTTAAGCTTGAACTGTGGCAGCTGAAAAGCAAATTCAGGTCAGCTGCTGTAGTGGCTGCTACATCATGGCAAGTTCCAGCTGAGGTGAACTGCTGAATGCTTCTTAAATGGTGTCAACTGGAGTTGTCAGGAGATCATAAGCCAGAGCCCCAAGCAATCTGATTAGAATCAGAGAGTAACTGGATTAGTGGAACTACTGAATTAGTGTTTGATGAGCTGCACAATTCATATGTATCTTCACAGCACTGTGAACTCTCAGACCTGCAACATGAATTACCATCCAACCCTTCCTGTGCCAGGCGACTCACACCTCATTGCACACAAACAAGGGATTTGTGCAAAGGTTTGCATTGAAACTGGTGAAAAAAAATCAAAACTACCTTGATCTAGCAATTCAGTAAAGACACTTGCCAACTCTACTGGTATGTTTTGTCATGATTTTCTTTTCTTTCATTTTAGCCAACTTTAACAGGTGAAATTGGGAGAGGCAAGGTGCAGTAAGTCAGACAGCTGGTGGTACCTTGTCTCAGTGAGAGGTGAAAGACTTACAGAGCCCAGCACAGAGCAAATGCTGGATTCAGTGAGAGAAAGGGGCTCTGCCTTTCATAGGGGCAGGAACTGCCCAGCCAGCAGCACCTCGACTCTCTGGGAGTGCATTTGCCAACTCTGTTGTCACACGTCAGTTTGTGAAAAATATCATGCACTGAAGGAAGGCAAAATGTTCTCCTCAAGCAGCTGCATGGAGCAGGCCCATCAAGATAAGCCACGTCCACTACTTTTTGACCATCAAAGTATTGGTAAAATGCTTCTGTCAGGGCAGTCCAAACACAAAACTCCTCTCTTATGCTCTGCAAGCTAGGGGGTACCTATTCAGGTTTTAGTCATAGTCCAGACAAACCTGAAGATTCCTTCCAGTTGTGGCTGGCTAGACTTCCTGTCTAGAATTATTGGGAACTAAATAAAGAAACACAACTTTTGACTTCCATGGCACACATAAAATAAACATTTTTAAATGAACTTTTTTTTTAAGCTCTGAAAGGATTTCTTCTGCTGTTCCTTTTTTAAATAAAGATGTCCTTTTCTACATTTCAGTTAAAAAACTTAGGGTTGTAGATTTTCATATTTGCAATGATCAAAATGCAACTTGAAACAAGCCAACTACAGTGAAATCAACTCAGTCAGAAACAGGATTGCAGTTAGAGCTTTATCTGCCTCCATCCCTACAACTATTCCAACACAGAAAGATGGAGTAAGTTATGTTACTATTTATAGTAAAAGGAAATTATAAATATGAATGCTCAGTAAATAGTAGGCAATAGAGAAAATACAGTAATTTGGAGTTATGTCTTCACTAATATCTAGTAATTCACAGGTGGCATGTTACATCTGTGTGCTGTATTTTATTTGACATGTTCACAGTCCTATTTAAGTCAGTCACAAATCCAAACACAGTTAGCAGGGTATTTAATAAAATCAGATTTATAAAACTATTACTGTATGAAACAGCATTTCACCTATTAAATTTTTCTAATACAAAACCAGCTACTCAAATCAGTAGAAAAAAACCCCAACAAATAATGAAACTATTAGAAAATAATTGAGATGTTATCAAAGCTATAAATACATCAAACATTTCTGATGATGTCATAATGCACACTACGTTTTTCCCTCTTCGTTTCCTTCACAAAACCTCTCCTGATATCTGCAGCTCCTAATCATCTATTCTATAAATACAGCTTAGTTGACTAAGGCTGAAATGTGCTAAGATGCAGTAACGCTTCAAATTCATACATGAAACAATTTGGAAGCTTCCTCCAGGCATTCGCGGCTGAGGCTCCCGCTGCTCCGCTACCCACAATCCCCCCATTTACCTGCTCGCTGGGCTGCCTCAGCCCTGGTCAGGAAGTGGTAAAGCTGATCCAGCTTATCAGGCTGCTCCTCCAGGGACTTCTCATGCCATATGGCTGACCCAGGCCCTGCAGCCTCCCTCAAGGCATTCCACTTCTGTATCAGAGTGAAGAGCTCGGAGAAGGACTTGTGATAACCCCGTCGCAGCATGTCTATGCAGATGTTCTTCGTGTATGAATTCCTGTTACTGGGAATAAGGAAGATAGATTTTAAGCCTTTAAACCTGTATTCTGTTCTCCACCTCACCAAATAAGTACAGATAACTAAAACAGCTTTCAAGAAGAGACCTCTGCAGTTCAGCAGCAGGGAATGGGTATTTCTTTCCCCCGCTCAAAAAGTGATCTGTTATAATATGATTGCAAATGCCATACCCCAGGGAAGTAAATATGGCAATAATGAATAAATGCCTGTATATATATATTTTCTGGAAACATGTTAAAAAAATACACTGGTATTCTTTAGCTGGTATTTGGTAAAAAAGTCTGTCTGATGGGAAAAAAACCCCCCATGTTTACATTAGTTCATGAAAACACAATGAACTCTTAGTTTGCTTTAAGACAGTGCACAGGGAAAAATGAGGCACATTCCACATGTCAAAACAACGTACATGTTAAATAGTTTTGCTGTAGGACATGATGGTTTGGTTTAAAACGTCAAACAAATGCTACGCCAGAAACATAATCATTAGATATTATTTTGCTTCTGTTTAGCATATAACTTCAGCTGGGACTGATTTACTGATGCAAAAGTTTGATAATTTCTCCCTAATTTTACAATCAATGATGAATTTATATCAAAGTTTATCTCATTCATAAACTCTGATAAGATGTTCATATTAAAAAGTCGTGTAATCAAATATTCTCAAGAGGTAATATATCTTTTGAGGTATTATTTATGGAAATAATAAAAATATTTCTTTTACAGGGCATGAAACAATCATTGTGTCCTATTCTGGAGAAAACTATGAGTCCAATGGGACTGCCTGTAACACTGAGGTACAGATGTAAAGGTTTGCAGGCATAGGTACCTAGTGTGGGAAAACAAACCTTTGTCCCAGTAAAATGGCAAGGACCCAGATGTGTTATTTCTATTTTGTATATTCTATTAAGTTTCCAAACTGTTTTCAAGACTGTCTTTTTAGACTAAAATCTATTTAAATTCAAATTCTCAGCAGCTTTAAAATAAATATGGAATTCTGAAAACTGAGATTTATAGTGTATGTAATAAATTCAGATGATTTCATACTAAATAATAGCCTAATGAGACTAATACTTCAAGCCTGAAAAGAGCCTCTGCAGTTCTTCAACCATACCGGTAAGATGGAAGTGATGTGAAAAACTTCTTAGCTAGATGGCAATGAAATAAACAGCAATGTAAGATGTAAGAAACAAATAATCTGCATTATTTCATATTTCACACAATCAAAATAAAATCTCTTACTACACAGATGCACACTAATCCTTCACAATGTATTTTTTACATTTCAGTGGCAGAACAGAACATAAAAATATTAAATAATTCTGATACGATATAGACTAGATAATACTGAATTTATGTTTAATATATAAAGAGATGGTTTTTGCAACTAAAAAGCACATATAGCTCAAACAGTCAAGGGAAAAGATGAAACTGTTCTGCACCAGAAAACATTTGCAACATTTACCTTAGAAAAGTAAATGAGAAATATCTTTAAACATTTAAATTTTAATTTGTCAGAATACGCTATATTTGACATACAGCAAATGCACAGTATATAGCTTAAAAATACTGTGAAGATATTATGCTAATACCGCACAATGTATTCTCTATTCTGTATATGGAATACTTTCTTTTTTATTTTTTCTGTTTTAAAATTCTATCTAACTAACAAAAGATTGAAGACTATAAGTAAAAATTCCTACCAACTTCCAAAGGCCTAGGACTGGATCCTACATTAATATAACTCAGAGCAGTGGAATAACAATGTGCATAGCAGGCACACATACGTGCATATTTATTTATACAGTGGGATCTATATATGTTTGTACGTATGCACGCATTAGATCATTAGATATATTGGAAGTAAACAAAAAAGCAATGCTGAAAGATCTTAACAGTGACTAACCAAAATATCATTCAGTTAATTTTTTATCACTCACTGCATACTCACTGAGCACAGCATTGAGATTCATATAAATAGAAAAACTGTGCCCATGTAACACGTTATTTTCTATAGATTGATGCATTTTACTTGAATTCAAAGCACATTTTTCCCACTAGAAAGCATTATTAACAAACCAATAAAGGGAAACAAAGCATACAGTAAACCACATCAGTTTTAAAAATCAGTGTCAATAGTCTTTTAATAAATCCCATCCCAATTAATGAAGACATTGAAATAATGCTGAAGTAATCATACTGTATAGAGCACATTTTTTTCTGAGGCAAAAAGAACTGATTTTAGCAATGAAGACAAGCAATGAAGCTATCTACTGTTTAACCCTTCAAATTTAGTAGCATAAAAATAAAAGTAATCTCTCAGTTATGAACAGAAAATATTACTACAGTTGTTTCCTTAAGTTTCTGTAATAAATAAGACACAAGTGACTGATCACACACAAACAATAAAACAGGGCAAGAGATTAATGATATCACGGGGATGAATGGTATTTGTGTCACCTAAGAGAGCTCGACATGGGAATGACTTCTGAAATTGTTACAAAGTGCTTCCAGATGAAAATTCCAGTGCCCTTTTTTTCTCCAACAAACAGTTCTTTTGAACAGAGGTGTGATGTAGGTGACAGCAGTAAACTTTTCATGATACCTTGTGATAAACTATAAATCCTCGAAATCCTTTCCATCCTGCTTCCTATGATGTCATGCAGTGTGTGAAATCCAAGGTTAAACAGAGCACCTCATGTTTTGGATAACCAAAGATTACTTGATTTGTGGTATCAACATCAAAAACTGATTACTAAGGTCCCTTCCAACTCAGGATATTCTATGATCTATGATTTAGTTTATCAAATCCAACTGTTAACGGTATGTTTCTACTACCTTAATAAGATTGTTTATACTAAGCATTTTGAACCTTACAACCTAATAAATTATGATTTGGTATTAAACAAGCGAGTTTGTTTTTCCGCATTGCTTCCGCGCCGACTTCAGGTTTCCTTTGGACAATTATGTTACTTCCAGGAGCGAAATGGGAAAAGACTGCCCTTTCCTCTGGTTGGAGCGGAGCCGTTCAAGGGGTTTAATGGTCTCTGGGGGCATCTACTGGAAATGTGGGAAACTGCAGGCAGGACAGGCGGACCTCGGCGCCGGCAGCGCGGCAGAACAAAGGGCCCCCCGGCCGTGCCCCCGCACAGGGCATCGCGACACGGACACGCTCGCCCTGCCCGCACAGCCGCCTGCAAGCGAGCAAAGGAGTCGAACTAGAACGAGCAGACGGCTTTGCGATGTTAACCGTGTTTAATTTTGAAACTGAACCGTGATGTGAATGTAAACCCGAAGTCCTCTTCCCCTTTCGCATGATCGCGTGTGCACGCCAAGAGAAAGAGATCTCTGATGGATTTTTTTTTAAAGCAAACTAATTTCTTAACGAATTCGGGAGCATATCTCTGTATTTATGGTTGAAACAAAGCTACCGATTAATCTGGGCTCAATTCAAACCAGAGTTGTGGGGTTTTTGTTTGGTTTGGTTTGGTTTTTTTGAATCCATGAAATTCAACAGATGAGAACCACAACGCTTATCATAGACCCAGCCGAGACTGAGAATCCTCTGCCGGGACAGTCACCTCTGTCACTGCTGAAACCCTGTGATGTTGCTACACGTTTATTTACACAGGCTGGGGAACACAATGAAATGAGGTCCAAGTGGATCTGGTGAGGTGTCACGCATTTGTCCTGTGTCAGCAGTTTCTGTGCTGCAATAGTCCGTCATAAGGCGCTGAAAAATTCGGTGAGCTTCTGTCTCTGTGCCATGGGCGGGTTGTGTGTCACAAGAATTTTTAGCACCAAATAAACAACCACCAAAAGTTAGAGTTGCCATTTTAGTGGCACCATGTTATAGGTGATGGTTTTTGTGTCGTGTAATATCACATGGGTGGAAGGAGCTACTTACTGGGAGCTTGAAAAGGCACTGCTGTTGTTAACACTCTGCTTTAAGAGTACCTGGATATCACTACAGGCATTTTAATTTTTTTCTTAAACTACAGAGCTACTTATGTAATTTTCTTATATGGATTTCTTTTTATTATTATCATTGCTATTATCAAGTGATCTAGGGTCATGCTGAGGAATCACAGGAACCTGATTCTAATTTGCCTTTACCAGTGCAAAATAAATAGTAACCCTCAAGTGAGGCTCATGAAATTACACTGTTCCAGTCCCAAGGACCTTCCTATGTTAAGGTATTATACTTTTATGAGACTCTTATGCAATGCTGGGAGATCAGGACAGCACCATACAACATTCCCTTTACCTTAAAATCCTGCACAATAAGGCTATTTGCATTCTACCCTTTACATTGAAAGAGGGAAAAGAAAAAAAAAGAAATTAGGAAGCCAAGAGGCAGGTACTGGTGCTAGAAATAATCAAAATAGTCAGTATAGCATAACAGAATCATTTATCATGAGCTTAATTCTCCATGCCTCCTGTCTGGTGTAGCCAATTACAGGCATGCAAAATAAGTCCAAAAATCTACTATTTTCAGATGGCAGATTTATGGATATATATTTAATATCAGGTTTCAGATATTAAGATTTTGTAGGATTTAATTAGTACTTCTGGTTAATTCCAGCTGCTGATTACAATACAAATGTATTGTAGCAATCTCATTTTGTAAAGCACAACATGGCATGGATTAAACAACAGTAGTATATAAAATATTAAAGTGTACTTTCAGTGTAAAATAATTACTCTACCAATTATTATAATATTTAAAAACTGTATTCAAATAGGTTTCATCCACTTGGGATTTCCTTCTGCAATTGGCAAGTCAATGACTGATATAAGTGCCTTAGATAAGCATCGCAAAATTATGAAAAAATCATCAAGATATTTTTGCTTAAGTTCACTTAAACAAATTTATTTTACTTTACCCACATTTCCTGTCTATAAATCTACAAATAAATTAAAATTACATAAAGTATGTGAACACTTTGCTACTTTTTGCTTAACCTTTATGCAAACAAACAAACCATA